CTCAAGATCTTTCTTACAATATCGGATGGTTGCATTTGTGTGAGTCCAAGCCCATTGACTTCCTCTACAAGAACATTCAAGCGTGAATACATCTTATAAACACTTTCTTTAGGAAGCATCTCAAATAAATTAAGCTTTTTTATAACAAGATGATAGCGTTCCTCACACTCACTCTTTGTTCCCTCATGGAGCACACAAATGTTCGACCATAGTGCATGGGTGTCCTTGTGGTTCCGCACACAGTTAAAGACATCTTTGCAAAGGCCTCTAAAGATGGTGTTTCTAGCCTTTGCATTCCATTTCTCGTAATTAACTTCATCGCCTTGAAGGTGTGTGGGATCCTTAGGTTTTGGGAAGCCTTGTGAGGCGGCTCTAAGAATTCCAACATCTAAAGCTTCTAAATAAGCTTCCATGCGGATTTTCCAATAAGGAAAATCATCTCCCTCAAAGATAGGAGGAGGTCTATCCCCGTGGAACATGTTTCTCTAGGCGGTTAAGCCTAATTAAGCAAGCACGAGGCTCTGATACCAATTGAAAGGATCAAGATGCCCAAGAGGGGGTGAATTGGGCTAATTCTGAATTCTTTGCAATAATTAAGTCCTACACTTAGTCCACTTCACCCCATATGTCTAGAATGTGATTCTATTGTTCTACCGCATAAAAGTTTTGCACCCTAAGTTCCAATCCTATTCTAGCATGGTAATTCTAGGAATGTAAAGACATGAAATGAATTGATCAAATATAAATGCTTAAAGTAAAGAGAGAGAAAGAACCACGGTGATGTTTTGCTAAGGTATCAGAGAGTCACCACTCCCTACTAGTCCTCGTTGGAGTATCCGCGTAAGGGTGTAGCTCCCCCTTCATCCGCACAAGGATCAAGTGCTCTCTATGGGCTGATTTTTCGACACTCTATCGCGGTGAATCGCCCACAACCGCTCACAACTTGAGTTGGGTCATCTACAAGCTCCGCCGGATGATCACCAAACTCCCAATCACCACCGAGCCGTCTAGGTGATGGCGATCACCAAGAGTAACAAGCATAAACTCTCACTTGACCACGGTAAGCCTAATGAGAAGGGTGGATGCACACTTGCTACTCTCCTTGCACTAATGAGAATCTTAATCTTGGATTCTCAAATCTCAATCACCTCACTAGGCTCTTGCTCTCCTTTGCACTTTTAAGGGTGTTTCTCAGCTGAACAAATGGACAAGAGACCTCCTTTGGACGAGTGGAGTAAATATTTATACCCCCTCATTCAAAACATAATGTTTGGAGGCTGAGCCATCACTCTACGGGGTGACCGGACGCTCTGGTCAATTATCCCCGCCACTGTGTCAGAAAGAGCCGTTAAGTTCTGACCGGACTCTGACCTGCGTCCGGTCAGCACTGACCGGGCGCGTCCGATCACGAAAAAACGCTCCCTGGACCCTTACTGATGTTGACCGGACGCTAGCACCCAGAGTCCGGTCACTTCGCTGTTTATCGTCCGGTCAGTTACCGGATCCTGACCAGCGTCCGGTGAGCACTGATCAGACGAGTCCGGTCAAGAAAATCCCTCTCTGGAACCTCTCTGGAGTTGACCGGACGCAGACACCCAGCGTCCGGTCACTTTTCACTCAACGTCCGGTCGCAACCAGACAACTTCAGTTGATCAAATGAACTGACCGGACTCACCCTCCAGCGTCCGGTCACAACCAGACCAGCGTTCGGTCAGTCATTTGACCCTCCATTCACTTCCAACTCGAAATCTTATGTGAACAAAGTTTACTCCAATTGATCTTAAGGCTACTCCTAAGCTACCTAGTGCTAGATTTAACAATTGTGCACCACAGCTAACCCACTAGACTCACATAGGTCAAGCTAATAGTCCATACCCCCTTAATAGTACGGCCAAAGGAAAAACAAAGTCTTAAACTACTCTAAGTGTCTCTTCAACACCAAACGACACTTAGAACTAGTCCATCCTTAACCTTATCGTCCATCATTTGAAAACCGAAATGATTTCCATCGATAGGGGCATGACAACCATGATTGCCCAATCAATTGCCATTACCATGACCTAACTCAAATTGTCTCTGCAAAACACACGTTAGTCATAGTAATCTCGTGTCGTCATTAATCACCGAAACCCAACTAGGGGCCTAGATACTTTCACATCTAAATCAATAAATATAACACATAGTAACGTAATCTATCCCTAATAATAAAGAGGCAAAATTCCTGGCTCTTTTTTTCGTCCAGCCTGCCCAACACCGGCTCGTTCTCGGTGACCTTAACATTACTGAGATTAGGAGTGAAAATAGAATAGAAACAAATATGAGGTTCCAAATTTAAAGATGCAAGAGATAAAGAAAAGGTGGAAGGGTCTTAATAGTTTTTTAAATAAATCGGGGTTCCTGATACAAAATATCTAGATCTGAGTGGGCCTCTCCTGTGGGCTTCTTTTTCAACCTGTGAGCCTCGTCGTCGGTGTTACCGAAGCCTTCACTAACTTTTTGATGTTCGGGCAAGCCGGTGCATAACCCCTACTTTTTAGCAAATATTATGTTTGTTTGCACATTAAGTTTTTAGGAGAAAGATTTACACCATCTGATGTAGTTTTGATTAGAAACAACTTATTTTTATTAAAATATTGATTGGTCAATGGTACAACTAATTATTTAATGAACCGAAATCTTGGGCAGATTATTGTCTAATAAAATCTAAACAAATGTATTTATGTAATTCCTGATGAGAGCTGCCGTGTGAAAAATCAAGAAAGGTCTCCTGTCATAATCATTGGCGGACAGACCAATCCTTTATACATCGATAAAAAAGTTAAGGAGGTTGATATGCTGCTTTAAAAAAGCTACAAAGGTCTATATTGAGTCATAGAGACACGTGGGTAGTATAAAAAATTAAAGTTATGATAAAATATCTAAATAATTATGCACTTTGCAATGAAAGGAAAAATATACCAAGGTGTATTTTAATTCGATACAGGTTTAATAGGACATTGTTATTTATTGTCAACATTAGCTTATGTTATTGATGCGTGTTCATCATAAAATAAATTATAAAATGATAAAACATAAGTAGATATGTACCATTCATGTTATCGTTTTGCATGCATGTATGATAGTTTTTTTTCTCCTATTGTAACGCACGGACATATTTGCTAGTAATTTACATAAAAGCAACAAGATAGTCAACAAGTAGTGTATACAAACATTGGCTTTAAAGGGATTGCAAGTCGCAACTAGTAAGACGACTTCGCCCTAGAGTTATTATTGCACCAAGGCACCAATGGTTGATGCAAATGGGCAAAGCCACGTTGGCAGTGGCGGAGGGAGGGGGCAAACACCCCGAACCCCTTGAATGCTCCAATATATAATACCCTTAATTATTTAATAAATGATGATAATAATTATTGATTAGTGTTTTATTTGTGTTGTCTCCATCTTCTTTGTGTTAATCCTTAGTAATATCTATATAATTTATGACTAATATTTATGTTATCTTCTCCCTCTACTTTGGTGTTTTTATTATTGTTGTGGTTTTTTCCTACACAACATTCTAGTTGGCCCACACAATGCACATCCAAGTAGCTAGTTATAATGTTAATTAGTGTTTTTCTTGTTATTTCTCCCTATTAATCTCTAATGTCATCTATATGCTTTAAGATTGTCTTTCTTTATCTTCCCTCATTTTTGTTCCTGTTATTACAGTGTTTTTAAACCTATGAATTAGATTAATCAGATGTAGATTAGAAACTCAAGGCAAAAAAGATCTCCTTTCTCTATAATTTTTAGTACCATTTTAGAATTTTAATTTTCTTTTTTATCACAAAACAAACATTGATTAGGTTATTATATATACTCTTGCCTACTCAATATACATATGTGTGCATGCGCGAGTTTATCGTTGGTATTGCCAAAATGTGTCCCCCCTACGGTCAAATCCTGGCTTCACCCCTGCACGTTGGGTCACACGAGTACATTTGCACCGGGGACTAGGGTCAAAACATAATTTCAGTGATTGCTAGCTCATCTTCACCTCGTATGCACCACGCAATCCTAAATATGTGCACCACACTGTCAGCAACCAACTCACGATGTTAACACGTAAGCCCAACTGTACAACTAGGCACATTGGCAGCAATAGGCATGCCTGGTCCAACGAACCATTTAGGCTAGTTTTGTAGCATGATAAAGCGGATAGCTACTAGTTGTTATGTGTACTTAATTCTTAGATTAGAAACAATGCCGATACTACAACCAAGATTCAACTCCATAAATAATCATGTTTGTGCTTCCACCAATATTGTCATATCAGTGGCAATAACCTTTTTTTTATGTCAATACTAGAACATGGTCCCGTTTACTTCGCTGAAAAAACAAACCGAAACACTGTTTCGACTGATTTGTTGTGAAAGAAAAATACTATTCCGACCGAAAAAACAAGCTGAAAAGTACGGATTATAAGATAAAGCTTGTTTGGGACTGCTCCATTCATCAGCTCCGCTGCCATCTTTACTAGACAAACAAGGACAGCTCCACAAGCTTTGCTTCAAAAGAAAAGGTGAAGTCAAGGGTCAAATCCAGGTGTTTTGTAGAGCAACTAAAGGCGTACTCCAGAAACTCTAGGTTTTTTTTAGAGCTACTCCATAGTGTATTTGGAACATAGTTTTGGTGGAGTGAAGCCCAAACATGTCCATACGATCCAAAAAGGAATGAAAGATGCAGCAGCTGTAAAGTTCAGTAGCAACAAATGGCCCCCAATGCATCTTGCACAGCACCAGAGATGGATGGAAAAGGAATGTGAATTGAATGAAGCTATGTATAATTTTACACTGTATTCTGTTGTCAGGCTATTCTCCTGCTGCCTCTTTTAATATACAGCTACAAGGAATTACAGTGCGTGCTCCAACGACGCTTTTTTTTTGTGTGTTTTCATCTCTTTTCTTTTTTTTTTTTTGGGGTTGCCCTTTTTCTCTCCATGATATCTTACCTAAGAGATGTTAGTACACCATCACTCGGAGCAGACCCGCCTGGGGCTGCGTGTACTGGAGGCCTTCATCCAGGAGGAACTGCTCCACAGCAATAGGCAACCTCGCAGTGCGAGAGCCCTTGGTGTGGTGGCCTGTTCCAACGCAAACCATGACTTGCATCCTCTCCCCTGCTGCCCTCGCTGCGCTCTTCAAGGCAGTGAGCTCACCCTTCAGGATGTGGATTGCTTCATTCACATGCAAGCCATGTAAATCAATCAGGTGGTCACCCCCACGTTGGGAAGAAACAGGATTCCTGCACATCAGAAAACGATAAGTATGAAACTAAATTAGACTTCAATATTACATAAGCTGGAACAACCAAAGGTCAACATGTAAAACAGCTATCAGACCTTTGTCGGTAAATAGCTTCTCTAGCTTTCTCATGAGCTGCTTTCATTTGCACATTGTATGCCTGCCCCTTCATGCTGAGTTCCTTCGCAAGAGCCTTGTTGCCAACCAAGTAAGCCTGTCTAGCCTGTCAGGTGTAACCTTATGTGAATACCTTAGCAACTCGTAAGATACCAAACTTAAAAACAGTATGTTACAGATAGTGAACTCTATTCATGGAAAAATGAACCTTACTAAAACAGGCAAAAGAAATTGCAAGTGTAGGCTTCAGTATCCATATGCAATAGTGTTTACCTGCTCAAAGCATGCATTTCGGACCCTAGCAAAATCACTAGCTTCTCCCCTTGATTCTGAGTACATACTTGCTGGTGGATTGCATATACAGAGATAAATTAATCAGTGCATAATTGGAACATACTAAAGGAACTCAAAAGGTAGCATAATTCTCCCTGATTTCTTGCCATTCCCGATCTTTCACTAAATGACGAAAACAAGCAAGAGCAATCCTCATCCAAACATGAAACATAAAGGAGGGAACTGTGCAATATGGACCAGAAAGACTTCACAGAGTATCAGATGAGTATTACCCACTGCATCGCCAGTCTCAAGCCATGGGGCAACTCTTGCACTGCTGATGCTTTGAAACTTGTTCCCAGATGATTGTTTAGTGCTAGAACTGTACTGTTTGGGTACAGAAAGAGCTGAAACGCCATTACCATATTCAGGACCCTTTTTAAACTTCCACTGGCCAGAATTCTGCGACGCAAGTTTGCGAACAGCTGAAACAAAATCACCAGCTCCAGTAGGCATCGCAGATGAACCGCGCCCATTGAACATGCTAAGTACATCCACATTACCCTTATTGAAACCATTTTGGTCCTCGACTGTTGGAAGTGCAGGGAAATCCCCAGTGCTAAAGTTTGGTGTGTTGTGGGCCAGATTCAGTGTGTGATTGGGTGTAGCATCAACTTGCATCTGAAAAATCAGGAAAATCATAATTATGGATAGTCCCAAAATGTTCTCGATGTACACCAAGCATTTTGACATCAATGCAGAACTGCAATTGAAGATGTGAGGATTCAAATTGTCTTTTCGTGTAGCATTACAGCTTTAGTAAAGAGTACACTTAGACAGCATGATAACGATGTTGTGCAACCAGTCCATGGCATGCTTGATGAGCTCCACAAAAATTCTTATGCTAGTATATAGTTCTTGTCTAACAGGTGGCAACCGGTAACATTTTGATTGAAATGGTGGGAGACATATTCCAGTGAGCATCGTAATTACTCCCTCCGTTCCAAATTGTAAGACATTCTGGCTTTTCTAGATATATAGCTTTTACTATGTATCTAGATATAATGTATATCTAGGTGCATAGCAAAAGATATGTATGTAGAAAAGCCAGACGTCTTACAATTTGGAACAGAGGGAGTATTTCCAAACCACTTTGATAATAATTCTAAAGAACATTGATCTGACATCTGAGCAAAAAAGCATACATTAAATTACTTCGCTTTTTTTTTTTTGGTAAAGCTAATTCTGAGTGGATATCTGGAAGACTTAACTTAGTGTTGCAGTAAGGATGGAATTACCTCTAGCTGGGTGAGGATTTCAATAGTATGGTTGAAATCACACCCATTTGCGTAGTACAGCTCTGCAAGGCTCTCTGCTGAAAATCCAGGGAACTGAGATGCCAAGTACTCCAGGGGAGCAACAAGGCCATCTGATGAGGCAGCATACTCACTAGCAAAACTATCAGAAAAGCTTACACCAGTTTCAGAATCATAATGAAGGTCCTGGTTTCCATTAGCAATATGAAGATCACCAATATAATTTTGCTCCCAGTTGCTTGAACCCAGGTAATTATCTTCATACAACAGATTGGTATGTTCCAGTTCCAGGCCCTTGGTAGCTGGAGAAGATAATTCATGATGTTCTCTTGAGAAGCGACTGGATGTTGTCCCATAAAAGGGGGGCGCTTTCAAGGATAATCCAGCAAGGGACAGTTCTTCAGGCCCTTGTTCAATTTTCTCAAAAGAAGTGAAGTCTGGAATAATGTCATCAGGAAGCTGCTTACGCCAAAACTGGTGTGCCTCATCATCCGAGTTATTAGACTTTGATGACTCGGACCTATCTAGGATTGTTTTTTCAGAAGAACCCCTAAAATCTGACTTAGTTACATCTGGAACTGTAGTACTTCCAAGAGATGGTTTAACAAAGGAAGGTACAAACTCCGCTGCATTGGGATTTAATGACGTGACTTTACTAGGTAACACTGAACACGCATCTCCACTATTTGAAACAACTTTATTTAGTGAACTCATCTTAACAGAAATTACATGCAATGTTACATGTACAAGAGAGATGTGTTCAACAATGATTTACCCAAGCCCTGCAAAGAAACGGGAAAAAAGAGTTACGTAAAGGCATGGTGGAGCTCCCAATCCATGGACAAACACTAAAAAGTATACTTTTCGAGGTTCATTAATGTAGCGTAAATAGAAAGCTTGTCAGTGAAATACTCTTAAAAATGCAGTAGTCTACAAAAAATAAAGTCCCTACTTACACTGACTACAGCCATTTATTATTCACACGCAATTACTTCCTCCTATCATAAATATAAGTCCATCCATGTTTGTCCCAAGTCAAGCTATTTTTTTAACTTTGACTAGCCGTACACATAAAAGTCTATTATCTTAAATGAGAAGTGTTATATATTATGAAACTATTTTTAAAAGTGAATCTAATAACATCAATCTCCTATTGTCAATGTACATAATTTTTTATTGATGGTCAAAGTTGACAGTTCAAACCTAGATGGACCTATATTTACGGCCAGATGAAGTAGATATAATCACAGAGTATCACGTAGCTCTTGTTAGTAGATCTTTACATTAGGATAATATTTAAATCATAATAATTGACTTCGTGGTTCCTATAATGAAAACCATGGTTAAATAAATAAGAGCATGGCCAAGGTTTTCTTAGAAGAGCCTCCTTAAGACCTTAATGCTATTGCTTCATAAAGAATTTTCCTTATTATCCCAGTCACAGTGTGAGCCGAGCCCGTTATGCCACCACCAAATTGGTAATTCCCAAAGACCCAAGAATTGTAGCTTTCTTTCCCGAAACCGATAGCGTATTCACAGCGGAAACAAAAGCAGATGTTTCCTGTCACTCATATAGTCATATGCATGCCTTCCTTTACTAAAAGAAGATGCAGCATGGTACTTCATCATAAAAGAAGCATCTTCTTCCCAACATGGTATTAGTTTGCACCTTCCAAATTCACAACTATGCTTTTTTTTTCTTCTATTCAACGAAACATTATTGAATATACATAAACAGCAAACGAAGCACGGAAGCAGACAATATAGGCAACAAAAGAACGAACTATTGCTGCTATCAAATGAGCCAGCAAAGGATAAACTTGAGATGCTGCCCTAGTAGCCGTTCTCAAACCGGCGCCCTCAAGGCCTCAAACCCATCAATTGCTTGCAACTCCAGCCTTAATCATACTAATAATTACAGCGATACCAAAATAGCAATAAAAAGTTGAGCAAAGAGTGGACCTGCTTTGCTTAATTGCTCTCGTGTGCGGTGCACGCTCACGACGTGCACCCGACGCTAAAGCGGCGAGAAAAAGAAGGGCTTTTTTTTCAACAGCACGCACGCGACGGGACACTGGTGAATTACCAGCAAACCGACCCAGTGTACCCGACAGAGGAGGAGATCCGGAACAGATCTACGCGGAATTCACCAGATCTATCTAGAGAAGAAGCAAAGAGACGGGGAAACCAGTACCTTTCCGCCGGTCGATGAGCTGATACGTAGCGCGCTCAGGCGGCCGGCCCATGGGGCGGCTGGCCCTCCGGCGGGGCAAACTAAAAGGAGCCCTCCCGCCCGCCGCGGTTCGGGCTCTCCTCCCTCCTGAACAAGGTCGAGTCGGCTCCGGATCCGGACGGGGCCACGGGGAAGTCGGAGGCGGACGGGCGCGCGGTGCGCCCGTGTCAAGGACGGAGACGGGGACGGGGAAGTGGAGGTGAGTGGAGAGAGCGAAGATGGGAGGGGCGTGGTCGCTGTGGATGGAGGCGAGGCGAGGTGGGTGGGTGGGTGGATGGGTGAGGCCGTGAGCTGAGGCGAGGGCAGGGCGAGGCGAGGTGAGGTGAGGGAGGGGGCGGTGGAGTTTGACCCGACGCGGCGGGGGTGGGGCCCGCGCGGCCAATGTATGGCGCGGTGGCGTGGAGGGGAAGGGCGCGGCGCGGTGGGTGGCGGGTAGCCTCGGGATCCGGGTCTGGCACGGGCGCCGCACCGGCACCGCACCTGGCAATCCGACGGCGTCGGCCGATACGAATATATGCGATTGCCAGGCGGGGAAATCTCTGGAACCTCTCTTGATCCGGTGTGGTGCCGTGCGCAGGGTTGCCTCTCTGGTGCTGGTCGCGTTTGCGTTGGCCGGGGCAGGTTCATGGCCCTCATGGAGTCATGGGCGACGGCGACTGAAAATAGCAAAGCCGTAGCGATGCATGGGTGTAGCGTACAGTTTGGTTGGATTCCCCCTCTAAAGTTGCAACTTGCACGTTGCTGTTTCAAGGTCTGCCTGCCTAGGTCAAGTGCGTTTTCAGCCCAAGAAAAGGCGGTTAAGAGTTTGTGCAGAAATGGTAAAGCCAGCAGGAAAGTGGTTTCCGTTCCAACAGTTCGCTGTTATGTTGTTACAGATAGAAAGAGTCTATTCATTTATGTATATTTCAGTTGGCCAGCGTGATTTGGCTCAATAGAAGTGGTAAGTAGCAATGTAGCATTATGTCTATTTAAGTTGACAGAGCTAAGACATACGATGGACATAGAGATGAATTAGAAATCAATGTTATAGTGGATTTATTTTCTTGGCCTTTCACCTCTAGCATTTTATTTGGAGCTTTCGTAGCTATAATTGTATAGGGGACACCTAACCGTGTGTTTGGTTTTAGAATGACAGGAGATGGGCTTGGGCGATTCCTCTCTTTTCGTTGTTGTTTGGTTCTAGGACAACTGGGACGGGACCGTCCCTAAGGGGAATATTTTCCTCAAATACGGGACTCAAATGCCTCCATGAATCAAGTGGGCGAGGAGGTCCTCTTCGGCGGATGGGACGATAGAAGGAGCTCATTGTGGCTAGAGTTCGCGGCAAGCTCCGGTGTGACGGGGCGTCCTTGTCTTCCCTGCGCTCAAGGTTGCGGCTGCCTCATACGGGCAGCGCGGTGCATGGGGGAGGGGTTAGGTGGCTCCAGGGGCTGTTTTAGCGAAGACCCGAGTGGCACGTTCGAACTCTAGGCATACGGGCGATCGAGCTCCGACGGCGCGGCAGAATAGGGAAGGGCTCGAGCGATTTTATGCTAAGTGGCTCTCTAATCTCCATGACCATTTATTCATTTGACGCTTAGAGCTCCATTATGCATTTCAAACCAAGGCCTCTAATTTCCATCTACGTTTCTTCTCATTTTTTGATGTAGTGAACCCTCTCAACCATGATGGTTGCTAACCATTGTAGTCACACTTGCTACTTCCTTCCTAAGTCAAAAAGTTGACACCGTTGGCTACATAAATAGGGGTCTTGAGTGGTCTAAGATAATGACTACTCCCCCGTCCCACTAAAAGTGTCGTTTTTTTTACTTTTAGACTTCTTGTTTGACAATTCGTCTTATTCAAAAATTTTGCATAAATATTATTTATCTTGTTATGACTTATTTTATCGTTAGAGATACTTTAATAATAATTTATTTATTTTATTATTTGCATAAAATTTTTGAATAAGATAAACGGTCAAACAAGAAGTCTAAAAATAAAAAAACAACACTTTCAATGGAGACGGAGGAAGTATGTATTTAAGGATCAAGTTGACTAGTGACTCATGAGCAGCCCTTTTGGCAACTATGGGTTCACTTCGCCTTAGTGTTGGTCATCGATCTCCAGCATGCCTAAGGGATGCCAACTGACTTGCATATGGTGCACTAGGCATCCGAGGCTCCTATTATCAAGCAAGAATATGGAAGATGATGACAGTAATCGAGGCCAATGAAATATGTGCCTATGGTCTTGTAATGGTGCAGTGGTTTTGAGCGAAAGGTTCTATCGGCTTCTTGCTAGAGAGAGCAATATGTTTTTTCCTTGGAGATGTTACGTGGTGTCATACTTCCCAATAATCACGAGAGACCTTGTGAAGATCTAACTTTCATCTACAGGTAAATGATGATGGTGTCATGTTCTTCTTGGAGGCATCATCTTGTAGTTTCTATTTCGTTTTGAAGAACAATTAAGTGGCAACGATGTGGCCTAACTTGTGTGGGTAGTTTGTCATCTGTTCTCATGTTTTTAGCTGGGTTTCCTAAATTAACCGAGCTTTCAATGTTTAGTCTCGTTTCTTTTTCTTAAAGATAAGGTCATTGGTCTATGTTACGCTGGAACTTGTGTAGTGGAATCGGACAAACTTCCATACGCGAAGCTTTGTAATAGCAGCATCCAATCTGACCATCACCAAATTTTGATGCAATAGAAGGTACGAAATATCCTAAACAGCAATGAGCACGTTACATGATAATTTGCATACGTGGATACAATCGAATAAAATACTTCAAGAAGACAACACAGAGTTACTCCAGTACAATGTTCTTACAACCTGAATATGCAGAACTAATGGAACGTACAGTCCTTGTCCTGATGTACTTCCAATGAGCGTGATTTGGTGCGTATACTTAATAACTTCATGCTCGATCACACGGAGCGTGATTTGCTCCTCTCTCGAGCAATCATCAATCGATCACGGCACGAATTATTCTCCGGGAATTGAAGGCGACCTACACATGTACTGTACGTACTTCTACCACCACATCACATGCCACCGGAGGTTTATTCTTGTGTACTAGTACAATACAACTAATTAATTAATCCACCACCAGCTCAACCAACCAGCTAGTGACCCCAATCATTGCCAGTTTGCCACCAAGCATGGCAAGCAGGCTCGTGTCATGCGTCGGCTCCGTCAGGGCACCCGGGCCCCGCGGCCACCTTCCGGCTCTGTGGTGGTGGCGCAGGCGACGCGGCGGGAGACGCGGGCGGCGAGTCGACGAGGCAGCGCCGGAGCAGCCGCGCCACGGCCGCCACGAGGTCGTCCTCCGCGGGCGCCCTCCGGGACGACGGCGCGGCGCGCGGCGCGCGCGCGAACGCGACGTGGCGGTCGAGCGCCTCGGCCGTGGTGATGGTGCTGCCCTCGCGCCGGATCTCGTCGCCCACCGCCTCGGCGCAGAGCCCGCAGACCCAGCGGCCCAGGTACTCGGCACGCACCGCCGCGATGTACTCCGGCGTGCACTCCTCCGTGAACCCGCAGCACTCGCACTTGGCCGCCTCCACCTCCATGCGTCTCCTTCACTTTCGTCCTTGCGGCAGCAGCAGCAGCAGCAAGTTTCAGCAGACGGCGTAGAGCTCGATCTCTTACCGCTCCTTCTCCCAGACGGAGTACGACGACGGGACGGACGGCGCCGCGGCGCGGTAGCTGCTCTCCTCGCTCGGGACGCTTGCGACGACGACGACGATTTCGGCGGCGGATGCTGCCGGTGACATCGCAGGCAGGCGACGTCTCCCTCCTCTAGTCTCCGCACCTCTGCAGCTCGGCCTGCACCGCTCGCCGCGCTAGCTAGTTCTTCTCTCCTTCCCCGGCCGCGCTATCTCCTGCTCCAACACCATGTGGTTCTCCAGGTGTATTTATCCACAAACGGCGTGGCAGCCACGGGGCCCGCGCGAAAGCAACGCCGCTATCGACCCGCCCCCACCCGGGCACCCAGACCAGGACACACACCGCACCTCTGCATCCTGACCCCACACGTCGGTGGGCGTGGGTGGGTTGGCCTCCCGTGCAGGTCGTGGTCTGCAGGAAGGCGGGGGCCGGGGCCACGAAAGGGCGGTCCACGTCAGGGCGCCGAGCTGAGCTGGAGGAGGTCCAAGTTTTCATAGTGTGGACCGTGACAGCTGGCGACGGGGCGGGCCCGCGCGGGAAGCGAGTGAGTGGAGGGGAGCGGCGGCCGTCGCCGGCTCCGGTTGGGTGGGTGTGCATTCGGTGCAGGTTCGGTTCGGCTGGCCCGTCGCTGTCGTGGGGGCCCCGTCCGCGGCCATTTTCCTTGCTGGTTCCGCGCTTTTTAAATTCCTAAAACAAGGGAAAAGGATTTTGCCGCCACTGATGTTTTTGTCTGGGTTTGGTGCCTCCAATCATAGGAGTAGCTCGATTGAGGGCGTGTCAGTTAAATTGGTTGAACTGTTAGAGAGAACCAGTAACTTCTAGACCGTGCTTTTTCAAAGGAGGAAATGAAACAAAATTTGCAGTATACTAGTAAGAATTGCCAATTGCAGTATACTTGGCTAAGCGCAGTGGATTTAGCTGACGGTGAAAGTCATCCCAGTTAGCCGGCCAGGAAACGCGTTGGCAACTTGGCATCGCCGGCCACCGTCGCGTAGAGACGACGGCCGGGCGCGGAAAGATGAGCAGACGTGCCTCCCGTTGGCACGGCCTTGACCCGATGTCACGGCACGGCAGTGAGCTATGGTCGCGGTTGCGGGCTTGCAGCTTGTCCTTCACTCGAATGAACGTGCCCAAGAGCCCGGGCCGGGCGACACGCCGCGGCGAGAAACTGGAGGATAGGTCGCGTCCGGCCGGCGTCCGTCGTCTGAGCCGCTCAGCGTCTGGTCCGATCTGACCTGACCCTTCCTCCGGCCGCCCGCCGTTCTCTTCCGCGGAGACGCGACGCAGGCTGCTGCCGCGCGCCAGGCCACCGGGCACCGTATGCAGGCCGCGGCAGGACATGAGCGTCCAACAGCCGGCAGCAGGCAGGAGTGGGTGACGTGACGGTGAAACGTGAGCGGAGAGCGACGGCGTTCTCTCGGCGGGACCACACCGGATACAGTGATTAATAACGTGACCCGTCGTGACAGCGCCTGCAACGATCGGCGCATGATGAGCAGCTGGTACGACGGTATAGTACACTGACGGCACCGTACCTGTTCCTGTCGACTTCTTCAATGTAGAGTTTGTAGGAGTAGACCAGACCCTGCTGTCACTGCACGTGAACGGAGTAGACTCCACGCGCTACCCCTGGGGGCTGGGGCCTGGTTCACATTTCCGTTCCATTTCATCACCTGTATCTGTATGTACTACAGGTTTGCAATTCAGGGGTCAGGGCCCATAAACCCTTTCGACGGATGCGCTCACTCACTGCCTCTTTGATCTGCGAGCGTGACAACTTTGGACTTCGCTGTCAGACGGGACGGGCGAGCTTATTTCCATCTCAAAATCCAAATCGGCTTTGAGTTCTCCTGTACGTATGTTTATCTTATAATCCGTCTTTTTTAAGCTTGTTTTTTCAGCTAAAACAGTGTTTTTCTCTCATAACAAATCAGCCAGAATAGTATTTTGACTTATTTTTTCAGCGAAATGAACAGGGCTGTAATCATGATCTTTCCTAGCTACCTGTGGGCCTGTTGTTGCTGAAGATCGAAACAAATCGATTTCATTTTACATGTCTTAACTCTAAATTAATCAAAATATCTTCAATGAAATGGCGCACATGAATCTGCAATATGTAAACCCCGAGCCATTTTTTCTCTATATATGTAGGAAAGAGAAACGACGATATGACGCCAATTTATTATGCACCGCAATTTTCATCCAAGGAATGGTAGTAAATTACAATTTGCAGTCCTACTTGTTTTGAGGCAACGAGACTGCCACGTCGCGCGCTTCCGCTTTCTTAAAGTGAAAAGTGTGAAGATTTTTTCTGCTACGGCTCTTTTCCTTTTGTCCGCACCATTCCAAAATTATCTAGGCTGGAATTACATTGACCCATGGTGCTATATATATGCTGCCAATTGCAACACAAACGAACGCGTGGCGAAATCGATGTTCTGTCTTCTGTGTATGCCCTTGGCTCTTCTCGTTCTGAAATTCAGATTCAGTGTAGTGAAATGTACACAGTTATCCAAATGTCTTAGCAGATTCCAATTGACGAGCCTTTCCTGAATATACATCCATGTGAGATCATTGCTAGAGAGGTGTAGCGGAGACGACGACTCGACTGCCGACCTGATACTGGTTGTTGCTATATCCTCCTCCATCCCCTGATGCTTATCTGCATTCGGCAGGAGCTTGGCGACTCGGCGTTATCTTTTGTTGGCCACCAGTTTTGGTGAGTCTGGCCTCGCTTGTCCATGTCATTCTCAGTTCTCACTTTGTTCCTGCGCCCGCCAAATGCCAATGCACGTGCCTGTGCCTCCTACCTGCTTGAAGTGATCCACACGTCTGGCGTCAAAAAAAAAATGATCCACACGTCTTCGGACCTGAACACTTGGGTGCAAATAAAGGCGCAGGTAGGCCGTCATGTACTCATGTCTCGTCACTCGTCTGCTTGGCCATGTGCAGTTCCATGAAAAGATTATTAGCGTCGTGCGCGTAACACCAGCTCCATGGAAATCTCATCGTCGTGCTCGGAAGACCAGAATTAGGCCGGGTTTAGTTCCCAAATATTTTCACCCCAAACTATCATATCAAATCTTGCGGCACATGCATGGAGTATTAAATATAGAAAAAAAAAACTAATTGCACAGTTTCATTGAAAATCGCGAGACAAACGTTTTAAGACTAATTAGTCTATGATTAGCCATAAGTGCTACAATAACTACCATGCGTTAATGATGGATTAATTAGGCTTAATAAATTCGTCTCGCAGTTTCCAGGCGAGCTATGTAATTAATTTTTTTTTATTTGTATCCGAAAACACCTTCCAACATCCCGAAACATCCGATGTGACATCCAAAATTTTTCATTTCGCGAACTAAACACAGCCTTAGTTGAAAAGATATGCATCCACAGCATCCATATTTTTTGACAGCGACACCAGTAAATAGATCGGCAAGAATCTGAGAATGGAGAAGCGACAGGAGCACATCAATGGCAGATCCAAAGTAAATAAAGCATTCAAATGGTCAAGATAGTCATTCCAACATATATACTAGGTGTATCAAAGAGGGTAGAAAAGTTTGCAGCAGCGTTGATACAGCTGCATAAGAGTACTTCCACTGAAAATTACAAAACTGAAATAGACTCATTATCACTATCATTACTGGGCAGGGAGGAAGCTACCTCTGTGACAACAGCCTTTCCCCCAAATCTCAATATTAAAAAAGACAATACAGCTGCATAACTGCATAAGAGTACTTCCACTGACAATTACAAACTGAATAGACTCATCATCACTATCATTACTCAGCTGGGAGGAATTTATCGCAAATCTGGTACAACACTTCTAACATCAAGATGCACACTGAAGATAAAACAAATTCCTAAGCTTAAGAATTAAGAGGTCAAACGCTGCATCAGCTAGATGGGCGGTTATTACTGACAGGAACCACAAGTGAACTGCTTGCATCATGTGGTTGCGTCTTTGCATGCGAGCCTCACAGAAGTATAGATCTGCGAGGTTTCAGCCATTGCACCATTCCCGTAATCGCCGCAAGCCAACCTTTTGGTAACCGGGGGGATCAAGATTATGCCCAGTTGGTTGATCGTCTGAAGATGACGCTCTGTGAATGGGTTGTTCCACATTAATGTGTTCATAGCTGGGGCAACAAAGAGCGGTTTGCTGTAGTCCCACGCTCTCACGATGCATGTCAAGAGGTTGTCACATAACCCACCGGCGATCTGAACAGAATAATCTAGCATCAGTTTTTGTATAAAATGAAACTAATTCACTATCCACAAAGAGAAAAAGGTACCTTAGCCAGGGTATTTGCTGATAATGGAGCAATCACCATAATATCTGCCCATTTCCGCAGCTCAATGTGTAAAACTTCATCTCCTATCTTCTTCCAGGTAGACCATTCATCATCATCAGTGTAAAGAACGATGTCACTTGGTAGAGATGATCTATCAACAAAGTGCAAAGATGATGTGGTGGCCACGGCTCGGACATCTGCCCACTCAGAGAAACTTCGACAAAGGTTCTCAAATTTTATAGCGGCTACACTTCCTGAAGCAGCAAGGAGGACCCGAGGCTTACTAGGTTGTGAGCAGTCCATCACCAAACTCTCTTGTACTGCCTCTGATGTAGCCATCAGCTCTGCTTGAAACACTCAGCTACATAGGATTAGAGAAAGTCAGAGGATTTGTACAGGTATAGAGAAACATGATTAACAATGAAAGATCTGGAGAGAAATGAAAGAAAAACAGGGAATAAATCATTTCCAATAAGCAAACAAATATTTACTTGTTCATCATTCCATGTGGACATGAGTTTTATTTTTGTAAGGCTGAGGAATGATGTGCTTCCAAATTCTTGACGCTGCTAGTGCTATGGAAAACCAGTGTTCTAAGT